GTCTGGATCTCTCTTTGCAGAATCCAGCCTTTTGCATGACAACGTGGCATTTGTTCTATGTCTGGACTCTCTTGGCACTGGAGACGAGCTTTTCTTACATATTTCACGACCACCTAAGCCTGGAACACCTCAGTACAGCTTTATTCAGCAGCTGGAGCAGGTTAGGTTGAATTGCAGAGTTGTATTCAGCCGATGTTCTATGAAAATACTGTTTTGACCCTCTTGTACATTTTTTTCTTTTCTGTGTTTTCAGATCATCTCTGCCAGGTTCCCCTGGATGAGATTTGGAACTGTCCATAAGAAGATCAACCTGCAGGAGGCCACCTTGGCTTGGGAGCACGAGCGCTATGGAATGAAACGTATCCCAGGATTCACTCTGTCGCACATTGAGAACCCTAAATCAGAGCTAAGAGGATCAATACTGGACACCATGTGAGAAATTTTTTCAAAAGTTTAGAAAATTCCATTCTGGAACTTCTGTCAGATGTAGTCAATGAATTAGCCACTCCATCCCACCAAGATATAAGAATAGCATTCTTGCATGATAAATTAACAACTGAAACCTGCTTGAAGCTAAATATGGTGTAAACTTGAATAACCTGCTTGAACTTAGCATCCTGCTTCACATTTAATGGCTGCCTTTTGAATGTGTAAAATGTTTGACTGGTGGAAAGAGCATCAAAATCTTCTGACTGGCTGAACAAAGATTCAGAGTGTGGTCTACAGTCACTTTTTTTAACTAATTTAGTGATATCTGTCGAGTTATATGTATATTTTCCAGTTCCATTCCATAACGAATATCCTTCCATACCTTTAAAACTTCTTTAATCCTTAAAAACAAGTGTGAATTAAGTGTTCTATCCAATGCAGCTCTGTTATAGCAGACATTTCAGAACACATTTTAAATGATAGATGCACCGCATCTTCTCATTTCTGTATATTCAGGGCACAGGTTGACATCAGAAAACTCAAGCGGAACACCGTTATAGTTGCTGAGTCCTTGGCAAGATTCATGTACAATCTTTCAGACAAGGTGAGGCAAACATTTGGAGTGTCTCGCCAAATGTAAACTTTCACGTTAAAGGGTTAGTTCACCCAAAAATGAAAATTAGCCTGTGATGT